CTATTGTGCAATATTGTGCTATTGGATATTTCTTGCTATTGCGCAATACTGTGCAATTGAAGATTTCTTGCTATTGCGCAATACTGTGCAATTGAAGATTTCTTGCTATTGTGCAATACTGTGCAATTGAAAATTTCTTGCTATTGCACAATACTTATTATATAATAACTTACACATCCTGTTTGGTGTGTATCTCCTTCCATATCATTATTATTTGCTTTTAAATATAAATCAGTAATAACCAACTTAAAATGGAAAATTTTAAAAGAAAATAAAAGGAATAAAATGCTTCGCTGGGGTGCAGCTTGATACGACCGCAGAGGTCGAACCCTGAACAGTTGGGGCAAGTATGCACACAACATTCAAGCTTGATACAGCTCTGAATTTGGATTGTTATTAAATATTTGACACAGCATAGGTTTCTGACACAGAAAGAATGTGGTCTAAGAACTTGAATTTTTTTAATTTAACTATTATGGTCCAATGTCCAAAATCAAAATACATGGTTAGATTCAGCATATCAAAGAACCCCATATATTCAATTTTTGTTAAAATCAAACAAAGTTTAATTTTGGACCCCAACTTGGACAAACTTGAAAACTGGGCCCATAATCAAAAATCTAAACACATGTTTAGATTCAGCATATCAAAGAACCCCAAGAATTCAATTTTTGCTAAAATCAAACTAAGTTTAATTTTTGACCCTTTGGACCTTAATGTAGACCAATTTAAAAAACGGGACTTAAAATTAAAAATCTAAATACACGGTTAGATTTGGAATATCAAAGAACCCCAATAATTCAATTTTTGATGAAATCAAACAAAGTTTAATTTTGGACCCTTTTGACCTTCAATATGAACCAATTTGATAGCGGGGCCCACAAATAAAAATTCTAAATTCATGGTTAGATTCAGCATATCAAAGAACCTCATATATTCAATTTTTGTTGAAATCAAAAAAAGTTTAATTTTGGACCCCAACTTGGACCAACTTGAAAACTGGGCCCATAATCAAAAATCTAAACACATGTTTAGATTCAGCATATCAAAGAACCCCAAGAATTCAATTTTTGTTAAAATCAAACTAAGTTTAATTTTGGACCCTTTGGACCTCAATGAAGACCAATTTAAAAAACGGGACCCAAATTAAAAATCTAAAAACACGTTTAGATTTGGCATATCAAAGAACCCCAATATTCAATTTTCGATGAAATCAAACAAAGTTTAATTTTGGACCCTTTTGACCTCAATATGAACCAATTTGATAGCAGGGCCCACAAATAAAAAATCTAAATACATGGTTAGATTCAGCATATCAAAGAACCTCATATATTCAATTTTTGTTGAAATCAAACAAAATTTAATTTTGGACCCCAATTTGGACCAACTTGAAAACTGGGCCCATAATCAAAAATCTAAATACATGTTTAGATTCAGCATATCAAAGAACCCCATTTATTCAATTTTTGTTGAAATCAAACAAAGTTTAAATACTGGACCTTATCTTGGACCAACTTGAAAACTGGGCCCATAATCAAAAATCTAAACACATGTTTAGATTCAGCAAATCAAAGAACCCCAAGAATTCAATTTTTGTTAAAATCAAACTAAGTTTAATTTTGGACCCTTTGGACCTCAATGTAGACCAATTTAAAAAACAGGACCCAAAATTAAAAACCTAAATACACGGTTAGATTTGGAATATCAAAGAACCCCAATAATTCAATTTTAGATGAAATCAAACAAAAGTTTAATTTTGGACCCTTTTGACCTCAATATGAACCAATTAGATAACGGGGTCCACAAATAAAAAATCTAAATACATGGTTAGATTCAGCATATCAAAGAACCCCATATATTCAATTTTTGTTGAAATCAAACAAAGTTTAATTTTGGACCCCAATTTGGACCAACTTGAAAACTTGGCCAAAAATCAAAAATCTAAATACATGTTTAGATTCAGCATATCAAAGAACCTCATATATTCAATTTTTGCTAAAATCAAACAAAGTTTAATTTTGGACCCTTTGGACATTAATGTAGACCAATTTGAAAACTGGACCCAAAATTAAAAATCTAAATACACTGTTAGATTGGGCATAACAAATAAATAAATGTGATCAAAGATTTTACAAATCTAATGCGCCATACTGTGCAATTAAAGATTACTTCTTGAAATTTTTCAATATTTGAAATTTGAAAAAAAAATAATATTTGAAGAATAATTCTTTTTAATTTCTGAAATCTGAAATGAGAAAAAATTGGCCCCCCACAATTTCTTTTTATCCCCCCCCCCCTCTTTTTCCCCCAAAAAAATTCTTTCCCTCAAGATATGGTCATAATCTCAATTCAAATTTCCAATGGAGTTGGCAACCATAATTACCCATTTAAATTTACCATAGTGCTAACTTAATCTAATTTATAATAGAATTAATAAAAATATAGTGTCAAATCTTTCATATGGATTTTTTTGTAAAAAAAAAAGATGAAAACATTTGCAGATATTTTTACTGGTCTTCCTTTATAAATATGCATTTCTTTAAACATAATTTAAAAGCAGTGTAAGGGAAGTAACCAAAACGTTGTATTTGGATTACCTCCCTTACACTGTTTTAGATTATCTTTATTGTTCATTAACCATTACTTTATACATAATTTAAAAGCAGTGTAAGGGAGATAATTTCAATGATGTATTTGATTTATCTCCCTTACACTGCTTTAAATTATGTTTTGTACTAAAGTATTTGTCCATTAACCAGGACAACCTTGTTTTTCCCCCTTTTTTGCCCCTAATTCCTAAACGGTTTGAGCCATAACCCCCCAAAGCAAATCCTAACCATCCCTTTGTGGTATGGAAACTTGTAGTATAATTTCAGAGAGATCCATACACCGTTCCACAGTTATTGTCTGGAAACTAGAAAATGCTCATTTTTGGCCCCTTTTTGGCCCCTAATTCCTTAACTGTTGGTACCATAACCCCCAAAATCAATCCCAACCTTCCTTTTGTGGTATTTAACCTTATGGTCAAATTTCAAAAAGATCCATTCACTTAAACTAAAGTTAGAGTGCGAAAACCAATATGTATTCGGACGACGACGCCGGACGACGAAGACGACGACGCCAACGTCATACCAATATACGACCACAAAATTTGTTTGCGGTCGTATAAAAACAGAAAAAAAAAGAAAAAAAAAAAAATCCCCCCCCAAATTTTTTGAACCCCCTTATGATTCATCACCCCCAAACTCAATCCCAGCCTTCCCTTTGTGGTATGGTACCTTGCAGTACAATTTCAGAGAGATCCATACACTTGAACACAAGTTATTGTCTGGAAACTAGAAAAATGTGTTTTTTGGCCCCCAATTCCTAAACGTTTCGGGCAATTACCCCCAAACTCAATTCCAGCTTTCCCTTTGTGATATGGAACCTTGTAGTACAATTTCAGAAATATCCAAACACTTACACACAAGTTATTGTCATGAAACTAGGAAAATGCTTGTTTTTTGCCCCTTTTTTGGCCCCTAATTCCTAAAATTTTGAGACAATTACCCCAAAAATCAATCCCAGCATTCCTTTTGTGATATGGAACCTTGTGGTACAATGTCAGAGATATCCATACACTAACACACAAGTTATGTCTGGAAGTTACAAAAATGCTTATTTTTGGCCCCTTTTTGGCCCCTAATTCCTTTAATGTTGGTACCATAACCCCCAAAATCAATCCCAACCTTCCTTTTGTGGTATTGAACCTTGTGGTAAAATTTCATAGAGATCCATTCACTTAAACTAAAGTTAGAGTGTGAAAACCAATGTGTCTTCGGATGACGCCAGACAACAACGACGACGACAACGTCGCCATACCAATATACGACCAAAAATTTTTAATTTTTGCGGTCGTATAAAAACGGCAAAATTTCCTTAAAATTACCAATTCAAGGGCAGCAACCCAACAATGGGTTGTCTGATTCATCTGAAAATTTCAGCGCAGATAGATTCTGACCTGATAAACAATTTTACCCAAGTCAGATTTGCTCTAAATGCTTTGGTTTCAGAGATATAAGCCAAAATCTACATTTTAACCCTATGTTCTATTTTTAGCCATGGCGGCCATCTTGGTTGGTTGGCCAGGTCATCGGACACATTTTTTAAACAAGATACCCCAATGATGATTGTGGCCAAGTTTGGTTAAATTTGGCCAAGTAGTTTCAGAGGAGAAGATTTTTGTAAAAGTTAACGGACGACGAACGACGGACGCCAAGTGATGAGAAAAGCTCACTTGGCCATTTGGGCCAGGCGAGCTAAAAATGCTTATTTTTGGCCCCTTATTCCTAAACGTTTGGACAATTACCCCCAAACTCAATTCCAGCTTTCCTTTGTGATATGGAACCTTGTAGTACAATTTTAGAAAGATCCATACACTAACACACAAGTTATTGTCATGAAACTAGAAAAATGCTTGTTTTTTGCCCTTTTTTTGCCCCTAATTTCTAAAATTTTGAGGCAATTACCCCCAAAATCAATCCCAGCATTCCCTTTTTGATATGGAACCTTGTGGTACAATGTCAGAGAGATCCATACACTAACATACAAGTTATGTCTGGAAGTTACAAAAATGCTTATTTTTTACCCCTTTTTGGCCTCTTAATTCCTTAACTGTTAGTACCATAACCCCCAAAATCAATCCCAACCTTCCTTTTGTAGTATTGAACCTTATGGTAAAATTTCATAGAGATCCATTCACTTAAACTAAAGTTAAGAGTGTGAAAACCAATGTGTCTTTGGACGACGACACCAACGTCATACCAATATACGACCGCAAAATTTGTTTGCGGTCGTATAAAAACAAGGAGTCTGAACATCTGACCAAAATTCCTAAACCTCACCTAAGTACACCCTTAAATCAGAAGGTGTGGCACAAAATCTGCCAAAATTGGCAATCCATGAATAATAATAAATTTGCAGAATTTTTTTAGAATTGGCACAAACATAAATACGAATAATTTAAGGATATTTTTTTTTATTCTACAGAAGATTAACAGTATTAAGATGATAAACAACTTGCACCATAATAGCAGTTTCTAATATTTTTTTTGCTACCAACAATAATTGAGCCAAGCAAATACAAATGTTATCCAGTAAATGAAAAATTCCCCACTTTTTCATTTTATAACTATATAGATAAAAATACCTGAAGCAGTCAAATTTGAGAAATAATGAGAAAATATTTAAAATGAATTACAAAAAATGGTGTTTCTGGTTTATGAACCCTGAAATGGATAGGGTCAGTTGGGTGCAGTTTGTGCAAGTTTTTTTTGGGTTTAGATTGAAGCAGTATTCTTGTATAAATATAGAATTTCATTAAAAGTTGATTTTCTGAAAATATTTCTATTGTGTCGGATTCTGTTAAAGACATAATAGAAATTTCCATTCTTAAAATAAGAAATAAAAAAGGTTGTCGCTGATTTCTAATAAGTTTCCAGTTGGGTGAGGAGAGATTTTTTACCTATGGAATAAATGTTGACTTTAAAAATCAATTGTAATTATCTTTTTTAATCAATTAATTGCAGTTGTCAATAAAAATAAGCACTGCAACCAATGTTTGGCGAAGTGATTTACTGGAAACAAGTCCTACCTGGCCATTTATATATGTATCTAACATACTTGTACTTTGGACATAATTTATTACCGTGTAATTGTGGAAGAAACACACCTGCATGCAAATGTAAATATCTAAACAACTTAATGAGGTCATGACCTTTTCAGAATTTTGACAAAATGCGATCCTTCACCTGTGGTTGATTTCAATCTTCCAATACAGAAATGATAGCTGATTCATGAGTGATAAAAATAATAAACAAACAAAAATATTTCCATGACAACAGACAACATGTCAATAATATTGGATAGCAAAGTTAGAATTAATGAGATGTACCTGCATAACAGTGAGCAGCAACCAGGCACTGCCTTGTCTAGTTATGTCAAAGATTGAGTAATTTTTTACTTTATTATACTGATATATGCTCATTGATAAATCAGTTTTCTTATAATATCTGTCAAGAAATTACTTGTTTACCCTTTCTTAGAAAACGAAAGGCATAAAATGCAGCTGCATATGTTGGTTTCATCAAAAAATGAATTTTCAATTGTATTTTTTAACACTTAATTAGACTGTACATCTCAATATTCTAACACTTTTTATCAAGGCAAATTATTCAAAATTTACACATTCAACAATTACACAAAAATACTTAAGAAAATAAAATTGACAGAGCTGCATTCAAAAAGCAGCTTACTAAGAAATACACAATATAGATTTGGTCCTGCAAGTACAAAAATATTTATATATCTAAAAAAAATTCTTGAACTTTCAAAAGCTTTTCCTTTTTGCATCCAGCGACAGCTAAGAAAGAGATAAATAACAATACACTTGTTGAAAAAATATTTATTGGCGATGTACATGTTGTTTCAAATAAGTAATGTTTTCATATACTCAGAGTCCACATACTTTAAAACCGGACAAGTTTTTTATTACGATTCGCAAGGCCAGATTTAAAGTCTATGGACATGAGGTACAATTTTAATATTGCCCTTAGAACTTATAAAAAATTAAGTAATCGTCTAGATCATGCCATTTTCCCTCACATTTTATTAAGCAGAAAAGGCTTCTTACAACATCATCACTGAGGACTCAGTTTCTTTGATTGAGAAAGTTCAAGATTTTGATTAATAGAAAAATACTGAACAACATGCAACAATATTAATATTTTACAGGTTATTTTGTATACAGTAAAAAACAAATATTTCCATTTTTCTTTTTAGAAATAACAAATATTGTTTACAAATATAATTGATCAGAAAAAAAAATATAAAAGATTTCCCTATCTTGAAAAAATCAAGAAAAATAAAATTATCATAAACTTGACCCTGTCCTCGGTTCAAATAAATATTAGTTGGTGCAAGATCTACATCGAAATTGTTTCACCAGGATTTTGAAAATAAATAACTACCGGTATTTTCTACAATACTTTCTTAATTAACCAAAATAACGATTAAGAATTTCCCTATAAATTTTACATTTTTGTTATTGTCTCATGCGCTCAGCTAGTACGCTCACCGTATATTAACAGGTAAATGGAAAAACTAACGGTATTAATATAAAATTGGCCATTTCAGAACCTAAAGGACTATGGGTAATTTTATTTTTCTTAACCCAAAATGAATGTAACGCCATGTCATTGGTTGAATTTCCATTGTTTAGGACAATTCTAACCAATCACAATGTTTTGGTGTATGCTTTTGAAAAAAATTACCCAGAATGCATTAGAATCTTAAACGGCAAATTGATCAAACCGTCAGATTGCAGAATTAACTTTTTTCAATATTTCAATTTACAGGAGTCCTTTTTATCAAAAACTTAATATTAGTCCCAAATTTGAATCTACTTTTTTTGTAAATATTTCAATTTACAGAAATCCAGAAGATGAACTTACTGGTAAAGCTACCATCATACCAAAAAAATATAATATTTTCTTTTCTATTTTTATTAATAAAACAAAAGTTCTGACTTCACACTCAGAAAACAATCGTCCCTCCCCCTTTTTTCCATGTTCTCTGTCTATCAAACACATAAGGGAAAATTCTTCCTTTGCAATCAATTTACACCACTTCATATTCTTTCTTTACTGCACGTCCAAGACAGCAGGCAAACAGGATTCCAATGATCTGGAAAAAACAAAATAATTTGGATTATCTCCCTTTGTCCATGTTAATTCAGATAAATTCAGATGACAGATAATCTTTAATGATCACATAAGGGCTATTCCAGAAAAAAATGTATAGGGGGGTTGGTTGGTTGTAAGGCATTTTGTTTCAGCACCCGCAACCCAGACAATTGTAATTGAGAATCATAGTGCATTATCACTGGGAAAGCCATTTGGTTAATGCGCCTGCTTATTATCTAGAAGCCTGGAATACATCTAAAAATATGGACTATGGTTAAAAGATAACCAGTAATCTCTAAATATAGATGTTTGACAAAGAATTAGATGTTTGACAGGGAATTAGATGTCCGTCTTTAACTTTAGCTGTTTGCTTTATTTTTAGACGTTTACCGTAATCCCTCTCATACTCTTAGATAATGATGTCCCTTTAAACTCGCGTGAACGATAACGTGTGTATTATTAACGTTAGCTATATATAGTATTGAAATGTTCCAGTTAAATTAATTTACATGATGTATCTAGTTTGACGGGAATTACCTGTTCGTCCGACAAAACTGATGTGAATTGAGTTGTCAATAATAGAACCAGTGATGCGTGATCGACGGTTATAAAAACATTGTTGTAAGGAGATGAAAACATAAACAATGTTTACAGAATCTGTTAAAACTAACCATCTTATTTCCCTTCGTTTAAACGATGTTTTTGAAAATATTGTTACCTGTAAATTAAGACAGAAACAGATAATATGGATCTATGAGTTAGATGGTTATAAATATTTTTTCATGGAAGCTTTTATCAGTGTTGCAGGTTTTTTATTTTTGGCCATGGCGTTGTCAGTTTGTTTTCGATCTATGAGTTTGACTGTCCCTCTGGTATCTATCGTCCCTCTTTCGAACTAAGGGGAAAGATCGACTTACAAATACGAAACGCTTTTAAGCATGGCTTTCCTGATGAATTAAATATCGTATTTTTTCATTGGTCAATAATAAAAATCTATTTAAATACAACCAATGGACAAGATGAATACACGTGGTAACTTTGTAATACACAACTACAAATTTATGAATGGAAGTGGTTTAATCAAACTAAAGGTTCAAATTGACAAATGTGTTTAACTGAGTTTTATTTCTATTTTTTTGTCAATTGTCAATAGCCTGTAGTATATTCATTCTACAACAAAGGATGCCGTTATAATCGATAAGTATGTTTCAGCTGGGAACAGTATCATGAATATTTATTGACAAATCTTGTGTATTGGAGGTAAGGGGTACCCTAAGGGTAAATACAATCCATACCATCTGAAAGAAAAACTTTTCACGAATCGAATGGTGTATGGAACAATAAATTTGAGAATGAATTGACAGCAAAATAAGGGTTTGAAGCGGAGAGGTGAAAAAAGTAGTTGGGTACCTTCTCGTAAATATACGTTGATAGTGGGGCTTCCCATGGATAGAAACAAGTGCCTGTGACCTTGTCATATATCAATAAACAAAAACAGACCATGAAACCAAAATTAAAGATTTGTTTAGATATGTATATATGCGAGTGTGGGTGGTGGTGGTGTCATGTATTGGGGATGATGGTGGTCGTGGAGGGGGGGTCAGGTCTTCATTTCTATATCTTTTCATTATTTTTGAATCCATTTCTTTCTACTCTTTTATTTGCTGCCAATTGTCCTCTATTCTTTATAGTTCATCACACCTTTAATCTGTTTTCTATATTTTTTGGGCACATTTTTTTCTAGTCTTTACTTTTTGACCATTATTCTCTAATCTGTAAACCCCATGCATACCCTCATTCACGGTAAACCATTCATACCCTCATTCATGGTAACCTATTCATACCCTCATACATGGTAATTAAAACAAGAAAAAAATGTGTATACACATATTACTGTACTATAATAGAAAAAGAATGGATATTGGGTATCCATCCACGACACAAAATCAGTACATGCACAGCCAAAAAAAAACACACAACAAGCAAAGGAACAGCGCTTTTATTGCTGTTCTTTATCTCAAATGTGAGTATAGGTTTTCTAAAAGTACAATATCATTTTATTAATGATATATATATAAGGCACAGACCATTCATGTTTTGTGGAGGGGGACTTAAGGTTTTTTTTTAAAGACAAATCATTGGTTTCCATAAAAAAAATAAAGGGAAAAAACACGACATTCAGTTTAAAAAAATGCTGTATGCATTGAAAAAAAAACGTTTGTTGTTTAATAAAGTCCGAAAAAGACTGTTCTGGGAAAGACACATTCCCCAGAAATCGTATACAATGTGAATGTTTGGAAATAAAGACGTATCTCATATCGATACTAACATTCCTGACACTAAACATCTATTTTTACATATTCTTTTCAGAACTATTTTAGTTGGTAATTTCTTTCCTGATCAGAAGATTTCTCTTGTTAATCGATCTTGATCCTGTTATATTGTATTAGAAATCAATAAATATATTCGTATTAATTCCAATAAGCATGTAGTTTACATAAATGCTTTTGGATATAGACATTACACAAAGGTGTCAATATTTACACACCCATCGATAAGTTGTCATAAATCACGCATGTTGAAGCTGGGGTTAATTAACGACCAGTTTAGGAAGTCAGATCAAGCTGTGTGTGATTTTAGATCTAGATGAGCAGATACAGTAGCAATAAAACTATGTTAGAAAATTTTTTGGTGACCCCGACTGGGGGAGGGGGCACGTGCCCCCTAAGCCCCCCGGTAAATCCGCCACTGCAATGAGACAACTCTCTATCCAAGTAACAATTTATAAAAGTAAACCATTATAGGTCAAGGTAAGGCCTTCAACACGGAGCCTTGGCTCACACCGAACAGCATGCTATAAAGGCCCCCAAAAATTACTAGTGTAAAACCATTCAAACGGGAAAACCAACGGTCTATAAATCTATATAAAAATACTATGTTCCAGAGTCAGCTCAGTAATGTGTACGTTGACCAATACTCGGCCCCGTCCCCATCAGAGTCTGTAGCCCCATATTTCTTAGTAACTTAAGATAATCTTTTTTATGAAATGGTGTGTTTAACATAGGCGGGTCCAGGAGGCCCCCCCCCCCTCATTTGTGGGGAAAATTTATTACATAGGGAATCACTGAGACACGACTGGAGTCCCCTTTTAGGACAGTCCATGTCCCCCCTTAATGAGCATTTCTGGATCTGCCACTGTATAATTACATAATTCGTTCTTGTTATTACGTCCAATTAATATTCTCTTTATAAATGTCATGTGACCGAAACACAAAATGGACAAAGTTGTATACAGACAAACTTGGGTAAACCGGACCCTGAAAACACCGGATTCCTGTCTATTCCGGTCCCAATATTTTCCTTTCATAACCTTTGCAAAAATACCCTCTATAAACCGGACCCTGTGTATTCCGAATTCCGATCTCATTAGGAAGTCCCATTACACATAATTGCATTATTAAATGCCTGTCAAAATCGGTTAAATTTATTTAACTGTACATCATGATCGAGTATTGATCGCCGTCAATCAACACACATTTGTTTACACAAGAGGGTCCTTACGAGTATTAAACCGTGACCTTATTGTAGTGAACTGTTTTTATAAACAATATTAAGTGGTCATTAAAATAAGTTAGTTCAAACAAGAATGCAGAAACTTTATGTACGCCTAAAAGAGAAAATAAGATTTTGATAACATTCTTAATAGCCTTCGCCGAAAAGGTCTCGCAAAGAACTTACATTAAAACAAAAGTACAATCTTATTACGGAATATGATAAAAAAAACCTAAGCCAACGCAAAAAGATCTGCATTACAGTTTGGGATTGGCAAAACAATTGTTTCATACATTTAAAAGAGAAGTGGTGAATATAAAACAATTTACGAGGACAACACAACATCTGCAAGAGAACTGTACAGTGCATGATAACCTATAAAATGAACTAACAATGGCCATGGTTTATATATTTAATAAATTTTACCGGCATATAGCATTATTCCAATGAAAAAAATAATTATCTATTTTTTTTTAATCTTATATATCAAACTATTATATTCTTTTAAACTTTAATGTCGAAACACTATTCCACCATTTATTATATTGCACTTTCATATATAATAGCTTAATGTCTTAAATGTTAACATTCCTGGTTGAGAATAGACCAGTATTCGCCAAAAAAAAAATATGTTACTTATCTTCAATAACGAATTCTAAAATGTATTAAATAATTCTTTTATAGTAGATTTGACTTTTAAAGTAAATTTTAATAGCGAAATTATGCACGTAATTTAAATATTTGCATGCCAGTAATCAATTTGATCTTGAACTTGACTTAGCTCACAATAGAGAGCTGAAATCAATTTTGTCAACTGCACGAGATTTTCATACGGCGGCAAATAGCATGTAACTAACACAAGTGATAAAACTGACCGACTGTGGAAAGTCAATTCAGGGTTAAATTTGATGTGTAATGATTGACATTGTTGTGCGTTAGCGTTGAGGCTCTTAAGGAAAGTTCATTACGATTGATTAACGAGAATCTAAATTAGTGCTGTATTTTTTAAATCGCATTTAAGTTTGGGTGGGAACGGGTTTTTTTTTTTCTTTTAGTTGTTTTTTTTTATGGAGAGGATCAAAGGGGTTGGTGTTAACTATTTAAAGTGTATAGGACATTTGGATAAAAAATTTCAAATGGTCACAAATTGTTTTTAAAACAATTAAAAGCGTCATCAGTTACTATTTTTAGACTACAATGGGATGAGATGGGTTTTTTTTCGGGAAGGGACGTTAGATTACTTTCTGCTTGATATGTTCCATTTTCAGTTTGATGTTCTTTGTTCTTTCCAGCATATATACTAGTACTTATAACGGGCACATCCGGGTAAGCCGGGACCGGAGGAACTCCTGTGGACATATTTTTTGAAGGGTGTTTTAAGAGCACATTATAAGACATTTCAAGCATTATACAGGTTCTTAGGGTACACTTTTTAAAGGAAGGGAATTC